GGATTTCAATTTTCTGTTTTTTTGTTATGTAATTTTTTGATGAATGAATAGGTTCGCTTCAAGTTAATTGAAAAAAAAATGAACAAATTATCGTTTTTTTTTAAAATTTTTGTTGTTACCTACCTGATATGAAGGTCGTAGGAAAAATGTTGTTCCTAACGCGTGCGCAAAGTGTCTTTTCCGCACGCGAACACATATCCGAACTCCGCTTCGCGTCGTTTGTATAACTGTGTTTGCGTGCGGAAAAGTAACACTTTGCGCACTTGTTAGGAAAATAATTATTTTCTACAACTGTCAAAAAATGATGATGTTTGCACACTCATGACAGTTTGCGAAGTGACACTTTATTTCCCAGGTATTGATTTTTTAACGTTCCCATGACACCAGTGTGGCGAACTAGCTCCTTCGCACCCTAGTGTGCGAGATAGCTAATTCGCACACTGGTGTCATGGTGACACATACCTATCCGGATACCAAAAAAAGTTAAAATTCACCTGGCTTTTAATGGAAATGCAATTTTCGCTTCGAATGATCGATATTTAAAAGGAGTTGTAGAAGAAATATTGTTTGCAACTCGGGCGCGAAATGTTTTTGGTGATCTCGAACGAAAATGACATTGCGCGCACTTGATACAAAAATAACTATTTTTCAAGCATGAGAAACATAGGTCTATAATCGAAAAACGTAAAATCAATAAATTTTTACTTTATATTAGTGAAAAACTTAATTAATTTTTGATGTTTTTCGAAAGATTGACGACCGATTATAATTAGTTTTACGTACAATTTTTTTTTCTGTGAATAAAATATTAAAATTTAACTTGTGTGTTTCTTTTTTCGAACTGTAAGAGCTGTATATGTCCCCTTCATCCTGCCCTGGATGCATCAGTTTTTAAAATGTTAAATAGAATGTCCCAAACAATTTTTCCATCGAGTTTGATGGTGTAACAAAAATTTCCATAGAAGTTAGATTTTTTTCTCAATTTTGAGGGATGAATTTACCCCTTCATCCCCGCCCTGGACACTTCATCTTTGGATACGTTAAATATAATATTCCAACCAATATTTCCACCAAGCTTGGTGGTGTAACAAAAATTTCCATAGAAGTTAGATTTTTTTTTCGAATTTGAGGGTTGAATTTACCCCCTTCATCCCCGCCCTGGACACTTCATTTTTGGATATGTTAAATAGAATATTCCAACCAATATTTCCACCGAGTTTGGTGGTGTAACAAAAATTTCCATAGAAGTTAGATTTTTTTCTCAATTTTGAGGGATGAATTTACCCCCTTCGTCCCCGCCCTGGACACTTCATTTTTGGATATGTTAAATAGAATATTCCAACCAATATTTCCACCGAGTTTGGTGGAGTAACAAAAACTTCCATAGAAGTTAGATTTTTTTCTCAATTTTGAGGGATGAATTTACCCCCTTCATCCCCGCCCTGGACACTTCATCTTTGGATATGTCAAATAGGATATTCTAATCAATATTTTCACCAAGTTTGGTGGTGTAGCAAAAATTTCCATAAAAGTTAGATTTTTTTTTTCGAATTTGAGGGTGGAATTTACCCCCTTCATCCCCGCCCTGGACACTTCATTTTTGGATATGTTAAATAGAATATTCCAACCAATATTTCCACCAAGTTTGGTAGTGTAACAAAAATTTCCATAGAAGTTAGATTTTTTTTTTTTCAATTTGAGGGTTGAATTTACCCCCTTCATCTCCGCCCTGGACACTTCATTTTTGGATATGTTAAAAATAATATTCCAACCAATATTTCCACCGAGTTTGTTGGTGTTACAAAAATTTCCATAGAAGTTAGATTTTTTTTTCGAATTTTAGGGCTGAATTTACCCCCTTCATCTCCGTCCTGGACACTTCATTTTTGGATATGTTAAATAGAATATTCCAACCAATATTTCCACCGAGTTTGGTGGAGTAACAAAAACTTCCATAGAAGTTAGATTTTTTTCTCAATTTTGAGGGATGAATTTACCCCCTTCATCCCCGCCCTGGACACTTTATCTTTGGATATGTTAAATAGAATATTCTAATCAATATTTCCACCAAGTTTGGTTGTGTAACAAAAATTTCCATAGAAGTTAGATTTTTTTTTCGAATTTTAGGGCTGAATTTACCCCCTTGATCTCCGCCCTGGACACTTCATTTTTGGATATGTTGAATAGAATATTCCAACCAATATTTCCACCGAGTTTGGTGGTGTAACAAAAATTTCCATAGAAGTTAGATTTTTTTCTCAATTTTGAGGGTGAATTTACCCCCTTCATCCCCGCCCTGGACACTTCATTTTTGGATATGTTAAATAGAATATTCCAACCAATATTTCCACCGAGTTTGGTGGTGTAACTAAAATTTCCATAGATTTTTTTCTCAATTTTGAGGGATGAATTTACCCCCTTAATCCCCGCCCTGGACACTTCATCTTTGGATATGTTAAATAGAATATTCTAATCAATATTTCCACCAAGTTTGGTGGTGTAACAAAAATTTCCATAGAAGTTAGATTTTTTTTTCGAATTTGAGGGTTGAATTTACCCCCTTCATCCCCGCCCTGGACCCTTCATTTTTGGATATGTTAAATAGAATATTCCAACCAATATTTCCACCGAGTTTGGTGGTGTAACAAAAATTTCCATAGAAGTTAGATTTTTTTTTTCGAATTTGAGGTTTGAATTTACTCCCTTCATCCCCGCCCTGGACACTTCATTTTTGGATATGTTAAATAGAATATTCCAACCAATATTTCCATCGAGTTTGGTGGTGTAACAAAAATTTCCATAGAAGTTAGATTTTTTTCTCAACTTTGAGGGATGAATTTACCCCCTTCATCTCCGCCCTGGACACTTCATCTTTGGATATGTTAAATAGAATATTCTAATCAATATTTCCACCAAGTTTGGTGGTGTAACAAAAATTTCCATAGAAGTTAGATTTTTTTTTCGAATTTGAGGGTGGAATTTTCCCCCTTCATCCCCGCCCTGGACACTTCATCTTGGATATGTTAAATAGAATATTCCAACCAATATTTCCACCGAGGTTGGTGGTGTAACAAAAATTTCCATAGAAGTTAGATTTTTTTTTAAATTTTGAGGGTTGAATTTACCCCCTTCATCTCCGCCCTCGACTCAACACATCATTTTTTAATATGTTAATAAAAACATCTGAACGAATTTTTCCACTTAGTCTTGCGGGGTGGGGTACCTAACAAAGATAATAACTGAAATTGGATTTTTTTTTTCAATTTCAAGGGATGAATCCCTTATTTGTTCTCACATTGACGCTGTTGTCCTAAAACATGATTTTTGAGAGGTATGTTTACTGGGCAATACATATTTTTTATTCATGAAAACAATATTTAGGCATCGGCAGCGCTAAATTATAAAATAATTTTTATATGCTGCACTACTTATCTGGACGACTGTAAAAACATGATTCTCGTTTCTGATTCCGTTGCTAACTTCAGCCACGTGAAATATGTGTTACTCGCTTCCGTTTAAAAATTATGACAAGAATAACATTTTGTGCCGATTAAAATATGCCTGCTGCTAAAGGAAAATTTAATCTCATTCTTATTGGCTATGGTGGTGGATCTGACAACTGCGTTTTACGTCTTATAGACTAATAAACAAAGCCATTACCCTCAATACGGGGTGTAAAGTATCAGGCTTTACTTAAATTAGATTGAAAGAAAACTGAATAAATATAAGCTAAAGAAGGGCAAGAGAAAATAAGCTGCGCCAGGCTCCTGGCTCGCAAGTAAGTTCTCCATTTATCAGGATGTCCCAATATGAGTAAGGAAAAGACAGAGTATCTAATTGAGTAGATTAAACCATATTTCACTGGGATGAACTTTAAACAAGTAAAGTTCAACATTTGCTATCAAACAGGGTTCGATGTACTGGGCTGTACTTACATGCATTTATTTTAAAGGAATCTAAGTGACTGAAGAACGTAAATAAAGTAAGAATTTTTGCATTGAAATGAATGACAAATATACCAAACCAATTCCTAAAACCTTCAAATTTACCTTAATTATGGAAAAACATGAGACAGTTACTTAGTATCCATTTAGCTAATGCGATAAATTCACCTATATCAAGTTAGCAATACCACATGCACGCCGGGATATGGCGTTAAGTGATTAATTTGTCGCTTTTTTGTCGTAAATTTGTCGTGCAAAAAAAAAATTTGTCGCGTTTTTCTTTTTTCTTAAATACCCTGGTAGTGCTAACTTGATATCAAGTTAGCGCTACCAACGTCACCCGATGTTCCTACAGAAGTTTTATTAGGTGAATAATTTGTCGCTTTTTTGTCGTAAATTTGTCGTGCAAAAAATAAATTTGTTGCGTTTTTCTTTTTTCTTAAATACCCTGGTAGTGCTAACTTGATATCAAGTTAGCGCTACCAACGTCACCCGATGTTCCTACAGAAGTTTTATTAGGTGAATAATTTGTCGCTTTTTTGTCGTAAATTTGTCGTGCAAAAAATAAATTTGTTGCGTTTTTCTTTTTTCTTAAATACCCTGGTAGTGCTAACTTGATATCAAGTTAGCGCTACCAGGGTATTTAAGAAAAAAGAAAAACGCGACAATTTTTTTTTTTTGCACGACAAATTTACGACAAAAAAGCGACAAATGAATCACTTAACGCCATATCCCGGCGTGCATGTGGTATTGCTAACTTGATATAGGTGATAAATTCCATCAGGGTGTTGAATTAAATAGTCTGGAACTTTAAATCGCATCTAACAGCAGAGTGGCACATATCACGGAGACATCCATAACAAGAATTCTCAATGTTTCCTTGTTCTAATTATCAAATACTATTTCCACTTGTATGTGAAGTTTGTAAATTCGCCAAAGGTATTTTTCTCTACTCAATCGAATAAAGTATAATGGGTCAGCATAAAATTTTATCAGTTTATCGTGTAAAGCATAATATTATTTCTCTCATTTTAAAAAATTAGAAAAAAATCTTACCTGTAACACTCTCTTAGGTAATCCAGTCTTTTGTGACAACTGTTTCAAATCCTTGGCGTCAGGATTGTGATTAATAGCGAAATAGGACTTCATCGTCCTCAATTGATGATGTTTAAATGACGTCCGCATCCGTTTAGTCCTTTGACTGGACCCGTGCAGTCCAGGTGTCCCGGGAGATCTTCCGTAAGGAATGTCTAAGTATTCTTGGTTTAAATCTGCAGGACAAGGTTGCGGTTAAAAAAGGTCAAAAACCACATTGTAATTAATTTAATCGGCTCGCTGGTTAACCCAGCTTTAATTGTTTTATAAATTAGGCAAGCCAAATAAATAATATTTTCCCATGTTCCTCCTATTGTTGGATTAAATAATATAATACTTTTATTATCTAAATATGAGATCGGCCTACCAAAATTGTGCGGTTAAGCAGATTTCCCAAGGGACGCGTGTCAGGTATTTAAACTCACAACAATGGTTGGGTTAAAACGGGCCCATTATGATTGTTATCAAAATATGCGTGAGTGATCACACTCTAACTAATGTGATGTTTTCAAAACATGTTATCGGAAGGGTCTTATTGACACACGCGTGGTTTTAGGTAGCAAAATAAACCGTACCTAAGTTTGCAGTCATTCCCTCTAAGTCCTTTGGTTTTCTTTTTCTAGGGCGGCCTTTTTGTCTAGGAGGCGCACCGGTTTGTCCATTGAAAAATGAACTTTTGCCTACCGATGCTTCTAGCGACGACGGTGGTATTTGAGGCGGCAACGTCGACTGATGACTGTGAAATTCTGGACTGGGAAACGGTGGCATGTATCCTGAAATGATAATAATTTTTGTTTAATGTATACTGTGTAAATGGATTCACACAAGGTACAACAGGCAATTTGAAATTATTCAACATCTCTAGGCTAATAGTTTCTGAGAACATTGATAAGTTTTGTGACTTTAAAGCTCTGTATGAGCTACCAATTCTCAACAAGAACTCGATATTCCAGGAATTTCCATAAGAACATTTCTAATATTATTGACAAAAGCTTTTCCTGGAATATGTAAGATTTTGATAAAATCTTCCTGAAATATTCTGAACTTTTGAGTAGTAATACATATTCCTTCGAATATTCCTGGTTATTATTAGAGTCACAGTAGATTCCAAAACAGATTTGGAACTGCCTCTATAAGCCTGATATAGGAAATTCTAGTCCTCAGAGTAAGAGAAGCGAAAACAGTTGTTTTATTAGTATCATTCTTGCTTGGAACAATCAGGGGAAATGTGGTTAAATACCGCCCCATTTCGGGCCTTGATTGTATGGCCAAGGTTCTCGCGTTCATTGTGGTTGACGAGCTTTTGTCAGCTTCATACAGCAGCCTTTCTGGAAATCAGCATGGCTTTTTTGCGGGTCTATCGTGTCAGACAATTCTATGCCTTTATACTCTCACTACTTATCTGCAGCTTTGATTCAGGGGACCAGGGCTGGAACTCTGTAACGGATAGAGATCGTTATCGCTATGGCACTTGCTGTCTTCTTCTCTCTTGTCGAAATCAATAGAGAGGAGACGTTAATCGAGATAGAGAAAATATCTCTATTCTTTACAGAGTCCCAGCCCAGGTCGACTCAGTTTATTTTGATTAAGAAAGCTTTTGACAGAGTTGACCATGTCATCCTCATGAGCAAACTCCAATCATTTGGCGTTACAGATCCTCTTCTAGCATGGGTTGCAAAATATCGAACAAAAATCGTCAGGTTCGGTGGTTCCATATCAAAGAAAATACCCCAGGTTGCCATTTGGGTCCTGTTCCTCGTATTCATCAACGACCTAGTCAACGTATCAACTGCCAATACCTTCTTTAGGCTGATGATCTAAACATTTTTAGAAAAATCTCTAGTTGTCTTGATTGTTCACTTTTACAGCTTGGGGTCAATAAAATATCAGAATGGTGTACATCGAATGAAACAGGATTGAACATCTCCAAATGCAAGATTATATCTTTTTCTGGAAAAATATGGCTCCAGAGGAATAGCTCTGAAGTGGTAGAGGAGTCGTATCTGAAGGGTAGAAAGCAAGTGGTGCGGGTAGTGGGACTTGATGGGAACTATCATCGTTCAAAAATACAGGATGTCATCCACGGAGTGCCGCAGGGATCAGTGCTTGGTCCCCTATTATTTTTACTGTTTGTGAACGATTTGGCACTATTAAATATCTCAGGAAAAATCACCCTGTCTGCCGACGACACGTCAATCTGCTGGAGTGAAAAGAATGCTGTGAATCTGGAAACAGTTATGAATGGGGACATGAGAATGATTAAGGCATGGTTTGACATCAATGACTTAGTATTGAACGTAGACAAAACCAGGAGCGCAACTAGCTTGTTGGTTTTGGGGGGGCTTGAGCCCCGGGTCTCTATAAGGCGATTTCGTGACAGTATATGATGTTTTTCAAAACTTACTATAGTACGTATTTCACAAATGCCTGAATTTGACGGAAATACTCTGCTTCTGCTATATAATTTTGTTCTTCGATATATTCTACGTTCTTAGTTGAAAAAAAAAAAAACAAAATTATAAAAGACGGCCGCGTTCACCAGATTGTTCTGCTGAACGCTACGTTGAATTTGTGTTGAAACCAAACATGTTTTGTAAACGGTCGCCATTTTTGCAAGCATAATTTGAGAGTGTTTATAACTTTTAACACTTTTTTTGTGCTTTGTGTGGTGACATGACATTCAGAAGGTGACGTTCTATCATTGAAAAGTTGAATCGTTCAGCAGAACCAAGAGTTTACCCAACGTATTCTGTTGGTATTCGGAAACTGTTTACAATCCGTTTTGGTTCTGGTGAACGTAGCCATTTTTATGTACATACATACATAATATGTAAGTAAAAATACAGGGTGTCCCAGCCGAGAGTGAACCATTTTAAATACTTATAACTTTCAAACCAGGTGTGCTAGCTACCTGCGGCTTGTGCCATTCGATTTCTCTTGGCTTGAAGTTTTTTCTGGTAGGTTGCAAATTTTTTTGAAACTTATGCAGGGCAAGTAAAAAAAAAATCCGTTTTTCAACATCGAAACTCTCCACTATTTTTAATGGAACATCTTGTATATCACAACGCAAAAAAAAAGATTCTTGTTCAAGGTATCCATGTACGAAAAGACATCGCCTCTAAAACTTGAAGTTTCAGCCATAAAAAATCAAAATCGAAATCTTGGTATTCTTGTAAATGCATATTTTCAAAGCTGGGACCTTAGGTTTGCCTAATAAAAAGTTAATGAAAACTGCATAAAACTATACAAAATGCTGTATATGTATATGTTAACCATTCTGCTCCAAGCATTTATGGATTAATAAATGGCTGAATGAATTGTGTAACATTTCCTGGAGAATCGCTTCAATGACATTACAAATGTTCCGCTCAAGATCTTCCAGGCTATTTGAGCAAAGTATTACTACATCTTTCCTTGACATCACCCAAGAGAAAAAAGTCTAGAACTCTCAAGTCAGGAAAGTAAAGTGTCCATTCTATAGGACCAGCTCTCCTTATCCGTCTTTCCCCAAATGCCATTATTTAGTGATTCCGTTGCTATTAAAGAATAATAAGGTGGGGACACCTTTCTGCTGAAAATAGATATTTTCAAGATATCCTCCTGTCTTAACTGTGGGAAAAAGAGCATATCAGTGTATACAGTTTCTGTTGTAGTTGGGTAATAAAAATGGTCTGTATTTTTTCTCAACTCGTTAAAGAAATTAAAACCTACTAAAAAAAACTTTAGGCCAAGGGAAATCGAATGGCACAAACCGCAGGTACCCAGCACACCTGGTTTAAAAGTTATAGGCTTTTAAAATGGGTCACTCTCGGCTGAGACACCCTGTATGTTCAAAACTTCTTAAAACTTGTTGTGTTGCTGGAACGCACCCTCAAACGCACCCTATACTTTAAGCTTCGTGTTTTTGATGCTCCCATAAAATAGCCGGTGCTTGAGAGGGCAGGGGAGAGGGAAAATCAACAGTTCAGTTGCGCGAAACTCTAATGCACTGGAACGCTTATAAACAGACTCAGATCTGCTCGTTCGGGCTTGGGAGGACGGATGGCTAATTTGTGTCATTACCTTCATGTTTGTGACCATCGGGTTTGGGGGGGCTAATCTTGAGCTTGGGGGGGCTAATCCCCTTCCAGCCCCCCCCCTAATTGCGCCACTGGACAAAACGAAATTGATGACCTTTTCATAACTTTAAGGATAGAGGACAACACAATACAATGCGTTTCAGACTACAAATTTCTGGGAATACATATTGATCGGGATCTGAAGTGGGAGGAACAATTGAATAAAATTACAAAGAAGTTATCTTGGAAGTTATCATCGGTAATATTTGCTCTGAGAACTGTAAACATCGAACTAATTAACATTTCAATCAGTAAGGAAGTTTATTATGCTCTCTTTGAATCCAGTTTAAGATATTGCATTATTTTTTGGAGATTTATGACTGAGTCTCGCTTACAGAGATTATTTAAATTACACAAGAGAGCTTTGAAAATAATATGTAGGGCTGATAGACGTGCACACTGCAAACCATTATTTAAGGAGCTCAATTCTCACTATCTACGACCTGAAAGTGTCTCTTATATCCACAGATCATATGGAAATGCTCAGGCAAATACTCATCCATACCAAACTAGATTTGGAGCTTGGAGCCAATCTTATTTTGCCGCGTTCTCATAATGAACTTACCAGAAGAACCTTCATGCATGTAGGCAAGAACTGGTTCAATGCTATTCCACTAAATGTTAGGGAACTGAATTACAATGGGTTTAAGAATAGTATAAGGAAAGCCTTGCTAGCCTCAGCCAATTATTCATTTGACGAGTTTTTGGAAAAATTTAATATGTAGTATATCCTTCTTTTGATAATATGTTTCATCTATCGTTTTTGTTGATTTTTTAAAATTATTGTTCTTGATTGTTCCGTTGAGTTTATTTATTTTTATTTTTATTTTTGTTTTTATTTATATTTTTTACATACTTTATATTTTATGAATTGACCTTTTGCTTGTTACTTGTTACATGTGTTGTGAATTACCTACATAGATATATTTTTTTGTGTGATCTACTCCTGAATGGTTTGAATGTATTTTTATGCATATTGATCAATAAATTGAATTGAATTTCTCGTAAAGAAACTCCCAATTCTGCAGTCATACTTTCATGCTGTCCGCTGCCCAGAGTAGACCTAATAAACGATCTAGGAGTAATTTTCGATCCCCAATTACCATTTAACAAACACTTAAATAATATCCTGGCCAAAATTTTCAGAATGGCAGTTTTTATAATGCGCCAGGTGTTGGGAATTTTCAATGTTGAGGTATTAAAGTCTCTCTACTTTTCTTTGGTGCGTAGTCACCTTGACTAGTGTTGCGTGATCTGCTCGCCATATTACCAAGTCCATATTAAACGTGTCGAACGAGTTCAAATGAAGTTTGTTAACTTCTTATTTAATAAACTCAGCCAGTTTTCACATCAAAATCGTCTGCAACTGCTAAATATCCAAAGCCTGGAGATACGTAGGGTTTCCCTTACACTTTACTTTTGGGTTAAAAATAATTATTAAATAACATAAATTGCTCTGAACTCTTGGCACTTCTGAACTTTCGGATACCATCTATCATCTATCAATACAAGCCTGAATAACATATTCGTAACTAATAGAAGCCGGACCGACATTAGACAAAATAGTGCTATGAACCGTATTATGCGTCTCTTCAACACATATGTCCCCATGAGTTTCGGTTTCAACTGCACTCCAACTGCACATAAAAACTCAT